TAATCAGCTTTATCATATCGTGTTTATAAATATAAAGAGATATCTTAAACAAAGACGTTTAAAAGTTTTGCAAAGCCAAGTGTAAAATCACTATTACTATAGAGGTCAAACTGCTCACTGGACTGTTTATCCAAAAAAATGCTTAAACACTTCTATACATAGTTTATATATGTATATACATATATGTAGTTTTAAATATTTGTTTCTCATAACATAGTAGTCCACCTCATGCAATTGAAAGTTGTAAACATTACAAATATAAATATTCCACTCAAAATATTTGAATACCAACAATTCTAAAGTAGACAGACTCCAAAAAGACAGCAGCAGATTGTTTGTATGCATTTTCCAACACTGGCAGATGTTTAAATAATGAGGTGGAAAATGTCTATTCAGCATGATTGGATTGTCTCCATTTACTCAATGTGGCTAGTGAGAATGAAAAGCACTATACAGCCCGAATTACGCCACCACTTCCAGCTGGTGACGATGATGAGGCTCCGAAGGGTTATGTCACTAAAACAAGGGTTTACAATGCTCAATGAGTAATTCAGTAGAGTAGAAAAACATGGCCAGGCGTAGATTTCAGCATTCAGATAAACTCATCTTCTGATATGTTAAAGGTTTTTTTTGTGTCTTATGATAAAAGGAAGGTTATTTAAATATTCGTGCAAAAAATAAGATATCATTTGTTGCTGTTAGATTGTTATGGTAATTTGAGAATGACTCAGTGGAACCTCTGGGTTACTGACCATTTCGCCACAATAAAAATCTCTTTTTGTTTGTAAAGGGACAATATCCAAGATAAAGTGCTGCAGTTACAAGATCGCTACTTCGAGAATTTGATACACTGTGATAAATTGTAAAAGTATTTTTTCTCCGCGATTATTTGTAGATGATAAACTTGAAACCGGTTTAATCAATTTAACCTCTAGGCTTTCCAGATGCAAAAAGAAAAAGGAAGCATCTATTTGTAAGTTTAGAAATATAAATTAAAAATAATATATTTATATCAGCAGATATAAATACATTATTAGTTATACATACATATATATATAGGAGAGAAGGTGGAAGGGCAGCAAGGCTAGAAACATTGGAGGAGGCTACAAACTGTTTTATCATGGTTCAGATGGGAACAGAAATGGAGTAGAGGTGATCCTAAAGGAAGAGCATGTAAGAAATGTGGTAGAGGTGAAAAGAGAGTCAGACAGGTTGATGTGTGTGAAGGTAGAAATAGAAGGAGAGATGATTAATGTTGTTAGTGGTTATGCCCCACAGGTGGGCTGTGAGTTGGAAGAAAAGGAGAAGTTCTGGAAGGAGCTGGATTGGATGATAGAGAGTATCCCCAGGAGAGAGAGAGTGGTGATTGGAGCAGACCTAAACGGTCATGTAGGGGAAGGAAACAGAGGAGATGAGGAAGTGATGGGTAGGTTTGGTGTTAGGGAGAGAAACTTAGAAGGACAGGCAGTGGTAGATTTTGCAAAGAGAACAGAAATGGCTGTGGTAAACACCTATTTACAAAAGAAAGAGGAACACAGGGTGACTTACAAGAGTGGAGGCAGGTCCACACAGATAGATTATATTCTATGTAGAAGAGGTAATCTGAGGA